TTCTGTTCAAGCTACACCTTGTTTGGAGGCCTGCTTCTCGTGTCTTTCCACTCTGGTCTAGGATGAGGGGACCATCATTATCTGGAAGAAGGCACAAGATAAATGTGGCTCTGTCTGATGAGTCATTTCTATTCCCATGCTACTGATCATGCAACTAGAACCCTGTGCTGAAGGAAGGAAGTACTTAGTATTGGAAACAATAAGACTGTCCACTATAGTATTTGTAGGGTTCATTCTTTAGTTGAAATCCAAACACTTCAATGAGGAATATCTAATTTCTGCTATCTAGTTCAATTTTACTTTGTGTCTGGTTAAAATCTCAAATTAAGGCTTCAAGTGTTTGTTTGGAGGAAGAGTTTCCGAATGTACATCTGTGAGTGTTGCTGTGGCCCCACTTGTCCTCTTCTTCAGAACATACAATGCTTCATGTGTTAGGTTTCCGTGGTATGTTTCTCCGCATCTATTATCCTACCTTACCTCAATTTCATTCTCTTGTTCTTAAACCTGTTGTTAATGTATGTGGTTGGACTTTCTTCAGTGTGGATTTTCTTCATTATGATTTTTAGTATCGGTTTTACTCTTTCCTTGGCATTGTTTTTTTTACATTAGTTGCTTAATTGTATTAGTGGTTTTTCACCTCACACTTCGCATGATTTCTTTAATTTCCTTGACTGTGAAAAGGAGATACCATCTATAATAAATGTAATTAAATTTCTTACGGTTAATCTTTGAAATAAGGACACACTTTCTTTCTCTCCTGTGCCACAAAACATTTCAAAGGATTTAAGTTCTTATCCTGATTATTCATGCTTGAAGCAGGATAGATTTGCTGTGTATTTTCCTGAAATGAGTGAGATAGGATTCATCAATGATCTTGTAACTATTTCCATGAATAGCGAGGAAATTCTCCACGTAGATTCTGAGTGCAAGAGCTGGATGATATAGTTTTAAATCATCATTTTGATAATTTAGTAGAATGTGAAAAGAAGTTGAGGCCATGGGCATTTCCAGGAAGGTAATTATATTTCTATACAGTGTTATCCCCATGTTTATTTATTTGTCCAAAAACAGCTCTTCTACACAGCCTGACTTATACTCCAGAAGGATGGGTGCAATCCTTGGAGGTAACTGTTTTCTTTGTTTGCTTATATTTTTATGTTTTGAATAAAAGTAACTGCACATCCAGTTTTGAGTACCCATTCAGCTTAGGAATTACTTCATCTAGTATGAGTCTATGTTAATAAGAAACCTCATAAAAGGAAAGCTTCTTACCTGAAGCCCTTTTTTGGATAAGTATTAGCCTATCTTTAAAATCTGTCTCAAAACGCTGTTGGTACAAGATGTTGAAATCCTCTCTAAGCAGAATGGATTCCTCACTGCCTTAGAACTTCCTCCTGTCTCCCAGCATCACATGAATTGTTTGTAGGACTGCAGAATTCTAGCTACTTCTGTATGCTCCTTGTATGCTGGCAAGTAAAACAGCTATCTTTGGGGGGAATTCTTTATTTAACAGGATACCTTGTAGAAATTCCCAACATTATACTCTATCTAGTTCTCATTCTTGGAGATATAGCTATTAAGACATTTATTCTTTCTGATACAAAGCACTAAGGAAAGTGAAATTGTAAATGGCTCCATTTCTAAAAGGAGAACAAGAACTGTTTCTTGGACTCCCAAGGGAATTTGATGGTTCATGTTTCTGGAGCCATACTGAAGGCAGCAACACTGAAGATTTTCTTTGGAATGCCTCAGTCCTTGAAGGAGGAGCCAGAAAAATGTGTTTGCCATGAAAAAGTGGAATGGTCCATGAAGGGTTGGCTCCCTAGGTCCTTGGGTAGGTGGGAACATTGTAGATCCTGCACATAAGAGGTGTTTGCACATAGCTGGCACATGGGACCTCAGGGCTGACAGGACCTACGGGGGGTATGGCTGCAGTGTGCCAAGGAAAGCAGACCCCATGACACAAGGGTGTAGAATCTACCTGCAACCAAGATTCCATTCCCATGCTTAATTTGGCAGAGAAAAATAAACCAAACATTTTCAGAAATGTCATGTGAATCGGAAGGAAGGAGTACAGAAATTCAAATTACTCTAAAGGAATCTCTTTCATGGGATTTTGGTCAATCTAAGCACCTCAGTTTGCCAATCTCATGAAGAAGCATAACCAAGAGCTCAGAAAAAAAAGCTTAAGAAAACTGAATAGTGCTTTAAAATTGTAATTGTTCTTAGATATATAGTTATTCATGAAAAGTATGAGATTTCACATGTAAACACATGGAGAAGAGCACACAGAGAGGAGAGAGGGAGGATGAATGAGAAAAGAGAAGGAAAAGAAAGGTTGAGGAATGTAAATAGAGTCATGATCTACTATCTGAGCTGTCTAGGTGTAAGCATTGTTTGATATTCATCTCTCTCTCTCTCTCTCTCTCTCTCTCTCTCTCTCTCTCTCATCTCCCTTTCTCTCTATCTTTCTCTCTGTCTATCCCTGTCTCTCTCTTATCTGCATACTACTTCCTGTGATACTAGAAATAAACATCTCATGTCACATTTTAAATAACTGGCTTCATTTTACATATAAACACATTATATGTATACAGCGGTTCCTCAGTTCCTGAAAATTTTTGTTTGTAATTTGGTTCACAAACAAAAAAAGCGTTTTGCAAAATTTTGATTTTGTTTGCAAACTATGTTGGGTGACAATGAGACTGTGTCCATCTATCCCATATAAACACAAACATGGCCATCGTTTCCAAATTTGTGGGACAAATTAACTTCATGAACCAACGTACCACTGCATATGCATATATTTTTTCTTAAAAACCTTTTCTATAATTGGAGAACTTTACAAAGCTTGAATTACTTTCTTCATTTTAACTCTTAAAAAGTAATCATAATAATTGGTAATTATTAAGAATATCATAGGTGCCAAATGCATTTTTAACTCTTTTACTATTTTACTGAACTTCATAAGGACCAATTTATGAGAGAAAAATAGAGTCACTGAGCATTTCAGTGAGTTACCTAAAGTAAAATATCCCAGCCAGTTCACCTCCAGGACCCCAGAAGTACCATACTAACATACACCAAATTTCTTTAGAGAAAGGAGCCACCATTGCTTTAATAATTCACTACACATATACATTTAGGCTTTTCATGATGTTACATATCAACACATGTAATATAGTTACTGGTAACAGGAATATTTAGTGGACATTGAGATATGAGGGACCAATTTCCACAGATGGCTCTTTTCATAAAAACTAAGTGTAATAAATGTTCAGATTTGCATAGCTTTCAGAAAAAGCATGGCTTTTCCTCATAAACTATGGTAATTAAGCATATGACAAACTCCCTATAATTAAGGGATAAATTGCTGGCATAAAAATAAAGCATGCTTGCATGCTATAATTACTCTGTAGCTTATAGTTTATCAAATATGTACTTTAAACTAAAAGGTTATGTAAGTACATAACTTCTAAAAGAAACCCTTTGCATTTTCCATACAAAACTGACAACAAGAAAATCATAGCTTGGTGTAGTAGTGCTAAAACTATTGGCCATGCCTAGGGACCAAACTTTAAGTAAGGCTTCCTGTGTCTCCTAACTACTGTCACTACTCAGCAATGATTAAAATCAAAGTGTTTTGGAAGAATTTTGCATTACTTTATTTACCAATGTTAACTATATCAAAGTAATGCATATAATGTATACACTCCTCATGGTGTGAACAGGAGCAAAAGCTATTGCAGGCTACTCTTCAGTGCTGATCTTCCTGTCTTTCTGGCTGATGAGCACACATAATTATTACAGCACATAAGGGAAGCCTGGGCTATTCCTCTTCCATTCCTAGCATCTCACTTCTACTCTACCTGTGGTCTGTGTGCGAGTGTATGTGTGTGTTTTTGTGTGTAGGGGCAGACTGTGCCCAACATGGAACAATCAGAGAGGGGGCCCACACACCCCAATAAAGTGAGAGTCAGTCAATTAGAAACTATCTCCATTCCCCAGCTACCAGAGCAAAAACAAAACACCAGGATTGGACAAGAAGCACAGCAACAAAACTAATAAAAGAAAGAAGTTAATAAATACTTATATCTGGTAATTTATTGATTCTAATAGAATTGTTTCCTTCTACCATTTAATATTTTAAATTTTGCTGTAAATAAAAATAAATTAGCATAAAATCAATGGGAATGTTAAATCATTTAATATAAGGAATAATGTAATAGTCTATAAAAATATTTGACAACAATGGAAGCTACTAAAATACTGCAATGCAAACAAATATGGTAGAAAGCAGAAGACTGATTATTATTCCAGTAAGTTTCATAGGGATACAGACTCTAATTGTTACCTTGACTATTTTCTTCAAAAGATGTTTAAGATTTTTTCCTTAATTCCATTTCTTTCTATATTTATTAAGTTAAATGAGATCTAATTTTGTATATATTATCTGGTTTTATAACACCAATTTTTTTCACATTTGGTATGTGTCTCATAGCATCACACTGTATAATTTTTCTCTGTTACTTATGGATGATGTGAAATTTGAAAATAAACACTTGGAAATTCAATTTCTTAACTGTAAATGGGAAATTTATTATAATAGTATATCAGCTAAGCTCCCACAGAAGAGAAATTTAAACAATCAAATGGCCGTGCTCGCTTCCACAGCCCATATACTAAACGATTGAATGGCTCAGAAAAGAGAGCAGTTCATTCCTTTTTTGGAACCATCTAGTAGTGCAGGGTGGGTGTGTGGACTCTACTCTAGGAGTTTATCTAGTCACCCAGGCTGGCAGAGTAGACTGGTCTTCTTGAAAGGGCCTTCCAAGATGGCTTCAGTCCTTAGCTTTTTCATTTGGTGAGTATGGGTAGAGAACACCCAGACAGAACCTTTAAGGAAGAGCACCAAAGACTGAACTTATGCCTTTTGCTTATGTTTCATTGTTCTAAACTAAACACCTAAAAGCGAAGGAAGATGGGAAGTATAACTATACCTGAGCAGCTGGACCGGCATAGCTATAATTGAGGGAGTCAACTAAAAAGGAAAAAGAGAAGATAGAATATTGCTGGACTATGAGTAGTTTTTGCCACTATACTGAGATTCAGCTTTAAAAATTGTTATGAAGCCTGATAATATATTTGTAGAGCACAGAAGAATTTTTGTGGAACTTAGAAAAACCATCAGCACGGTTTTTGACATGCACTTATGATTATTAAATGGTAGCCATTATTAGTACTGGAATCATCGTTATTATAATTAATTAGCATCTCTAGCCTCACCTAAATGCTTGAATTTTCCTCCATAGGATCACAAGCGATTATTTAGCTATTCTGGAACTACTTCAGTAAAAGGAAATAATTGATTGCTCTTAAAGTAGTCATTGCAATTGAGGAAGTTCTTTTTTCCTTTTTTCCAGCCATTACTTATCTTTTTAAACGCACATGCTTTTCTTTTGTCCTGTTGGTGCTTCCTGAGGCCTTCTAGAACAATTTTCATTAATTCATCTTACAATAGTCTTTCAGGTACTTCTAGAAAACTATGGCTTCTTCCATGAGTTTTCTTTTTCTCTAGTCTAACTAATCATTTTTGTTCCTCCAAAAGTGTCTCACAATCCATGATTCTCAATCCCTTCACCATCCTGTCACCTTCATTCACTCATTTAAAGCATACTGAGTGTTGGCTACTCCATTGTATCAATCTCCATTTGAAAAGTGCGTTGCCAAGGGCTGTAAACAGTATTCCAAATTATTCTGACCAGAAATGAGCACAGAAGATCTTTGATCCTCTCATTCAGGATATCAGTTTCCCTTAATGGGACTTAAAATCATGGAGATTACTTTGGCAGCTGTATAATGCTGTTGACACATGCTCAGTTGTGGCCTGCAGTCCCCACTGAGCCTTCTTCATCTGTGCGATAAACCTAAATGCACCCTAACCTACACAAGAACTTCCTTTTTGATCTAAATACAAAGCTTTTCCTTTCTTTCTAGCAAATTAATTGTACCTTACTGTATTCTCTCAAGAACTCTTATTCTTTCATCCAATTATGCCTCAGAGATTCCCACCCTCTATACACCTGATTAGCATGTCGCTGAGCTCCTTATCTAAAACAATGATTAAAATGTAGAAATGAACAGAGTTGAGAAGCCATTAGTAACCTTCGGGGAAATCATTTAGTTATAAATGCACACAAGCACATCAATATTATGAGACATATCTGTTTACAAAAATCTCAAGAATAGTTTTTGTTAAATCTCTGGCTCTGTGCTCACTGTCATGCAAGGTGAGGCCGTGGACCCCTACTCAAAATGCTCCGTGGTCTGGTTGCACCCAGCCCATCTGAACCCTCAGTGCCTCCTCCCCCAGCAGAGTATGCCTGCTGTTTTCCTGCTGCCAGGCCTTATGGAAAACTGTGATTTCTTCCATGAGCTTTCTTTTTCTCTAGTCGACTCATTTTTGTTCCTCCAGAAGTGTCTCACAATACATGATTTTTAAGCCCTTCACCATCCTGTCACATTCATTCACTCATTCAAAGCATACTGAGTATTGGCTACTCTGTTGTACCAATCTCCATCTGAAAAGTGTGTTGCCAAGAGCAGTAAACTGTTTTCCAAGTTATTCTGTAAGTTGAGGTTCAATAAATGTTTATTGAGCCCTGACTGTGTGCCAGGAATTATATAAGCACTTTCTGATAAACATGGAGCATGGAATAAAATGAAAAACTTTATGCAAGTAGTGCATATATTTTCAAGTGAAAGGATTTTATTATTTTGTCTGTGTGTGAAAGCTATGCACCATATTTCTCATGTGGAAGCAGTGCCAAAGTGCTGCATGGATTCCACTCACAGGACTCAGCTCTGGGCATGAGGGATGCAGACAAATGTTTTAAATGTGATAAGCATTTTTCCAAGATAATCTATTCAGTGGCTAAGTTCTTGCTAAATAACACATCAAACTGTGAAGTTAAATAAATCAGCAGTAGCCATGCAGGCACTCTCCGGAAACATGTGCAAAACTAATTATCAATTTGCTCTAGACAACAATGACATTTTAGAATTTAAACTAGGAATCACCTGTAGATATGTTACCTTTTCCAAAGGTCTTTCTACTCGAGGGATGCTGATCATTGGCATCTGGGCCAGATTATCCATGTGTATATGTTCACTTTCTGGTTGTCTTCCTTTGAAATTATTTACCACACACACGACCTAAAATTTCAAAATTAATTACAGATAAGTAAAACCTGTGACTACCACCCTTTTGATTAGTATAATACATTTAGATATAGTAATAAAGTATAAAATTACTTAAGAATTATATGTATGAACTTTGCACTCAGATTTATTTCATATAAACTTTAATAGCTAGTCCAAAGTAGATAGGTTCAAAATTTATCAATTAGTATATAGCTCAATTAATAATCACAAAATCATCTCACTAAAATTTTTATTATAGTTAATTTTCAAATCAACCCCAAAATAACAACATAACCTTATAAAAATTCATAGCAAACTAACCTTTCCATAATGTGGCAAAACTACAACTCAATTTAAATGCTAATTACTTTCCATTGTTTCAAGATTATTACATTCATAATAAATCTTTTACAACTGCCACTCTAATTCAGTAGCATCCTTTTAATTAAACTTGTTTATTGTCTATTATTATGCCACATATACACTTGGCATTTCCACACTATTTTATTGGGGCTACTACTGAAATAGATGACCCTTTGCATAAAGGAAATTGGCCCTGGTTTCAATTGATTATATAAGAGGTGAAAGAATGTGAAGTAAACCAGAGATTCTCATATTTTGTATCAATAAAAATAGTTTTAGCATTGTGAAAAATGCTAATTCCTATGCCCTCCATTAGAGTTTTTCACCTGGTAGATTAAGGATGGACCTAGGAGTTGGTATTATTAAATAGATAACATGAAATAGGAAGAAAAGTCTCAAAGGAGAAGGGGAAGGGAAAGTGAGAGAGGTAGGGGAAAGAAAAGGAGTGAAAGTAATAAATATGAGAAAAGGAAAAAAATGGAAACAAAGTCTTTGTAAATAGGGAGGGGTGGAGAGGTTGAAGGGAGGGCAGGGGAATGGGGAAAAAAAATAAGAACCAAGACCCAAAAAGTAAGGAATGATAAGGGTCTGACTATGGGTTCTTGGTAAATCTGCTGTCAAATAAGGCTGCTGGCTTTGCAGCCCCACCAAGGACTCACAGATACTGATTATTAAGGAGATAGAAATTTTTGTCTGGAAACAGAAGATAGATAGTATTTTTGGCTTTGTAGGCTTACAGCTTCTGTGGCAACTACTCAACTCTGCCCTTCTGATACAAAGTAGTCACAGACAGTTGATGAAGGGGCACACTAATATTCCAACAAACTTTCTTTGCAAAAACAGACAGCAGGTCAACTTTGCTTTGTAGGCTGTAGTTTGCTTATTAATCACTGTCAAAAACACAAAGGATGTAATCACGAAATTTACCTGATAGTTATGACAAAACAAACAGTCATCTCACATCCATCCCACAAAATACAAACACATACATATATGTTTTCTATATTTCATTACCAAATAAATTATTGGAAAGTTGGATAGAATAAACATTGCTAATGAATCTTCTGAAGTAGAATTTATTGAAATGCAGTAACTATGTACATAGACATTTAGAACTTATGGAATGAGTTCTTCAGCTGCCTGCCTGCCTGAGATCACCCAGTGGGTGCGCAACCTTCCGGACTGTGCAACACAGACCCAGCAAAGACCCAAAGACCCCGGAGGGGGTCTCTTCAGCTGCCTGCCTGCCTGAGATCACCCAGTGGGTGCGCGACCTCCCAGACTGTGGGACAACAGACCCAGTAAGGAAGGTAGCTGCACGGGCGCCCTTGAAACACCCCCACGACCTTCACCCCCCCTTCTCAAACCTCCCAATTGGGCCAGTCCTTAGACAAACTCTGCAGAGGCATAGGTTCTCATGAAGGGTAGTTTTCTGAGCTCCCAACTTTGAACATCTTTAAAGAAAGGGCAAGCAGGGGATGGTTCTGCATATGGCTGTACATGTAGTATAATATGAGAACAGAGACAGTCTGAAAGAGGCCCTTCAAATTCTTTTCTCTCTCTCTCTCTCTCTCTCTTTTTTTCTTTTCCTCATTCCACACTAAAATTTCTTTCTTTTTTCTATCCTCTCTCTCCAACTCAGTCTCTTGCTCCACCATATTGTCCCTCATCTCCCTTTTTATTCTGGCTCCTGCCCTAACTCAGACTTCTTCTTTTATTATTTTTTGTTTTTAGGAGGGGTTTCTCTTTATGTTCTTTTCTCCAGTCATTTTACCTCACTCATGGCTCTGTACCTTCAAGGGAAGGCAAGCACCTGTTATTGTTAAGGGAATATATTCTTGTCCTTATTCCTGCACTCTCTCTATCCCCCCTGAAGCTAATAGCTTTGTAAAGATAGTAAGGTAATTCTACAACCTCTGGATTCACTTCAAAACTGCTCTAAATCTTTCACTTATCTAATCCTCTCGCTCTAAATCTAAACCCCCATCCTAAATGGTAAAAATGCTATATTGAAAAGCATATTCACTGCAAACATACTATGGGCTGCTTCTTGAAATTAATTTACTTCACATGAGTTAAAGGTGATACATTAATGCCTACCACAAGTGGTCAGTTTGCAAGCTGTGCCTGATCCTATTGGGCTGCTGAATGTATCAATTGGAATAAAGAGTTGTGATTGATTTAAAGAGTTGTTTTCTCTGATATTATGAAAATGAGGATGTCTATCAGTCATTAGAAACTCAAAAGCTAAAACGCAACTATATTAGGAAGATTTAAGTAATACCCAGAAACTAAAGAAGGACAACCCAACAATAAAAATAAAAATGAGAAAACACTTAAGCAAGACACAAAAACAGATTTCCAGTTCACCAATGGCAAATAGTAGGACAAATGAGGATGAAAAGTCTGATAGTGAACCAACAGGACTCCCTGGACCCATAGCACAGGAGGTAACAAAATTGATCAATCAGGCTCTAGAAAAATTCAAATCAGAAATAATTTCCCAGCTAACCAGAGAGATGATGAGCAAAATGGAAGTCATGATTCGAGACTCTAGAGCAGAAACTGACAAAAAAATAGATGAGCTCAAGACTATGATAGAAGCCATGAAGACTCAGCATAAGAAAGAAATGGAAACAATGAATTCCCAACAGAGGAAAGAAATGGAATCCATAAAACAGATTCAAACAGATATCCAGGAGATTAAAAACTCTATTGAAAGTGTACACAACAGAATAAAAGATTCCGAAGATAGAATTTCAGATATAGACGACAGGATCGCAGACAGTGACCGTGAAATAAGAGGTCGCTTAAAAACAGTAAGGGATCATGAGAAATCAATCCAACAACTCCTAGACGATACAAAGAAAAATAACATAAGACTAATA